TATCAACACTCACTGAAGCAGCACTAAAGAAATCAAACAACGTGTTACATTATGCAAATCTTCAGCACAAGACCTTTTTAAAGTGTTCAAGAGCAAAGCTGTCAGCTTGAAGACTAAGGTGTGCCTAACCTAAACCATGGTATTTTCAATAACCTCATATGCATGTGAAAGCTGGACAGTGACTTAGGAAGACCCTTGAAAAATAGATGCCTTTGAGTTGTGGTGTTGGAGAAGAATATTGAAAGTGCCATGGACTGCCAAAAGAACCAATAGATCCATTTTGGAAGAAGTTCAGCCAGAGTGCTCCTTAGAGGCCAAGATGGCCAAACTTCGTCTCTCATACTTTGGACATATTGTCAGGAGCAGTCGCTGGAGAAGGATATCATGTTTGGTAAGGTGGAGGGTCAGAGAAAAAGAGGAAGCCCCCCTCCACCCCAATGAGATGGATTGGCCAAGTGGCAGCATCAACAGAAGCAAGCGTGGCAACAGTAGTGAGGTTGGCCCAGGATCAGGCAGTGTTTCCTTCTGCTGTGCACAAGGTCACTATGGGTCGGTACCGACTCGATGGCACCTAATAAAAACAACAATTGTTTGTTTGAACCGACTCGATGGCACTCAGCAACAACAATTTTTTATTCTCTAAGGGTATTCACAAGATTAAGTAAATTAAATAGATAAAACAGACTTATTTGCTTGAGAGAACCTGTCTCAATATATTGTATTCCAGCAATGTACATCACATAAGTATTTTGCTTAAAAGAAAAATAGAGAATTAATTGTATGCAACACTTTTATGAAAATTTCAATGTAAGAATTAGTAATATCGCAAAGAATAGAATTTAAGAGATTTATTCTGAAATTGTAGGTTTTGGGGTCCTGCTGTAGTACTGTAAATAAGCATTAGACAGCTAACTGCAGAATCAGTGGTTGAAAACCACCAGCTGCTCCTCAGAAACCCTATACAGTGTCACTATGAGTCAGAACCAACTCAATGGCACTTAACAGCAATGACAATGTAGCCTTACTAGCAATTCTTATATTATTGGGGGCGGGGAAAAGCAAACTGAAATTGTACAGGTTGTTGTTATGTTCTATGGAATCGATTCGGACTCAGCAGCATTATAGGCCATATTGCCTTTTAGTATTTCCAGAGATGCAGTCTTTATGGAAGCTGACTGACAGATACTTCTTTCATGGAATAGCTGATGAGCTCAAATGACCAACCTTTCAGTTAGCAGTTGAGCACAAAGTGCTCTTCAGTAAAGAATGCTAGGTTATTTAGTTTCACTGATAGGGATAAGTTAGATTTATTTCTTTCCAGTTATTGGAAGGACTAACTTGGAAGTCATTTACATGTATACCTATGAGCTTGAAGGATTGAATTAAGTTATTAGAAATATTATTTCATATAGTCTTATGTCCAGGTAGATTTCAAATAAATGTTTAATTTACTATCTGATACTTTGAGCTCTGGTAGCGTAGGGGTTATGAATTGGGCTGCTAACCTCAGGGTCTGCAGTTCAAAACTACCAGCTGCTCGGCAGAATAAAGATAAGGCTTTCTGCTCCCGTTAAGATTTGCAGCCTCGGAAACCCTGTTCAGGGTCACTATGAGTCGGAATTGATTCCATGGTACTTAACAACAACAATGTCTGACCTTTGTGGTCCTCAAGGTCTGTTTGAACTGTAAGGTCAGTGGTTCAAACTCATCAACTGCCCCTCAGAAACCCTACACAGTATATCTATGAGACAGAACCAACTCCACAGCACTTAACAACAGCCAAGTATTAAAACTACAACAAAATAACAGCAAAAACAACTTTCTTAAACCTGATATTTTAGTCCGTACATGTAAATTAATAATGATTTCAGTTCATAACTTTGACACATTCATAGTTAGGACGTGCAATGGTATATAAATTTTATCATAAAATTAATAAGTGGTATTATATAAAATATGGGAAACATAAAAATAGAAATGCGAAGACCTCAATAATCTCAAGAGGAAGCATTGACTTTCTGCGTGTGGTGGTGGTAATTACGGTAATGAATATTGGTGATAGTTATATAACAAGACTGATCTCACTGGTGTCAAGGAATTTTACACATGAAACATGTTGAAATGGCGTATTTGTTTATATTTCTACAACAATGAAAATACTAAAATAAATACATACTCAAAAAGGATAACAATTGTAACATTTTATTTAGTTATTTCTAATTGAAGCACACACACACAATGGAGGTCATACTACTTTGAAAATTTCACTCTAGTGTGAGATATCTTCATCTCATTAAGTAGTCTTCAGAACTGAATCTTCACGATGGCATTCTGTCCTTAGAGTCCACATTTAAAAAGATTCATTTCATAAAGCCCAGTGCCATCCATTACTTATTCTGTTTTTAAACCAGTGCTGAGGAGAAAGGGGCTAAGATCCGCAAGAAGGTTGGAGAGGAAAGTGCTGAAATGTCTGAGTGGGCCAGCAGGGGTTGCTGTTAAAGGATGAGGCAACCACGTTCCCAGTATGTCTGACCTTGGACTCACAACATTATAGTCTGGAGTCTATTAAGGGAATTTCGTGTTTTTCCTTTGCAAGACTCACCCCCTACCACGACAAATATTTAAAAATGTTTTTTAAAAAAGTTGGGAAAGAAAACTTTTTCCCCAAAGAAATTTATAGTTCAAATTTACACCAAGTTCTCACTAACTGGAGCTAGCCAGGTTTTCACTAAAGCTTCAACTTTCCTCTGTAAAACATTAGTCACTCCCTTGGAAGAAGCCTTTTTTTTTTTAATAGAGCATGGGACAAAACAGCCACAGATGTGTGTGTAATACGATGGACTTTAGAATGTACCTGAAAAGCATTTTTTCCATTTAAAGAAAAGAGTATAAAAGAAAAAGAAAAAAAAAAAAGACTAAATTTAGATGCTAAATGTCCAGTGATTTTGTATTAAGGAAATGATAAGCTTTTGATATGTTCAAATTGTGTTTTCTTTTCCCCCTTTTCTTTATTCTTGGGAAGCTGTTGAGATTGTACCAAGTTCATTTGCACTGAACAATTCTGAAAAGTGTTCACCATTCCCATGTGTAACTGGTTGCCTTCTTATGGTGCAGGACTGTAGTGAAGCCTGTGGCCAAAGAGTTTGATGCAGATATGGTCCTGGTTTCCGCTGGATTTGATGCATTAGAAGGCCACGCCCCTCCTCTGGGGGGTTACAAAGTGACTGCAAAATGTAAGTATATAATTTTGGACTTGATGAAATGCTTTGATACTGTCCATTTTTCAGGTCTTTCACACAGAAAACACCTTTCACATGTACCTAAGTACTCTTTGGTGAGATTTTTAAAATGTTTTCAGATGTGCAATTGGCCTTTAGAAAAATGAAGTAAAATTTTTGTCCATTGGTGGACTTGACATAACATTACAGACTCTTTATGTTTTCCTAGAGTCCCATGTTACCATTTAAAGGTAGAAATGATAGGGCTTCTGCTAAAAGCGTGCTGAATGACTTGAAAGGTAATATATCCAGAAAAGCTACTGGACTTTTTGTAAAAAGAATAGACAATCACTTTTTTTTTCTTGTGCATGGTTATAAAACCAATTGCAATGAGTTGATTGCAGCTCATCGTGACTTCATGTGTGGAAGAGTAGAACTGTGTGCCATAGGGCATTCAATGAATTTTGAAAGTAGATTCCTAGGCCTTTCTTATGAGGCTTCTATGAATGGACTTGAATCGCCAACCTTTTAGTTATCATCCAAGTGCATTTGCTGTTTGTATCACCCAGGGACTCCATGCATAAGTATAAATACTTATTTTCCAATAATATTACTACAGGTATGAATGCCAGAGAATACTTTCTCCTTGCTCAGAAGCTCTGTACATACCTCCAGGTAACACTCAGGATCTGAACTGGTTCCTATTGCTTTGCATTCACAACTAGACACCAATTAAATAAATTAATTTTGTGATATTACATCTAAATAACATAGCCTAATGGAATATGGCTGAAAAGAGGATTTCTTTCAGAATACTTTCTTTGAAACCCTGGAAAGCCATAAAAGAAAAAAAAGAAGAAGAAGAAAAGTAAAATTAGACAAAGAATATGATCCACTATTGTATGCCTTTGGAAGAGTTGAAAAACAAAGAAGACAAAAAATACCAAATAGTTTTAATTGGGAGAGATGAGTTTGGAGCAAGTGTGTTTTATTAATTTCAAAAGAACCAAAGAAACAGCATCATGCCAACCTTTGTGTTTAGTTAGCTTCTCATGTGAGACAGTTTTCTGCACTCAAATTGTTCCAGCAACATTGTTAGGTAGTAGCTATTTTTAACATCTATTATTTACACAATGTTCTTGGTGCCTTGTTGTCTATTGAAAACATATAAAAGAAGCAACTCCAAAAAAAAAAAAAAAAAAAACACAATTATTCACAATTTAGTTACAACCGAATAGAGAGGTGTTTGTTCATATCAAATGTCTTCATATTCTCTTATTTTTTTCCTTGTGGAATTCTATCTAAATGGCAGGCAGTCTTTCCACTGAAGGTAGGCCTCATTTGTCACAAGATAGGTGAATAATTTAGATAAAGAAAAAAATTCGCCTCAAATAAAGATAAACTCAGGTAATGTCAAACAAATGGAGAACAAAGACAGAAATCTAAAAAAAGAAGCTCTTTGCCATTAAATCCAGGAATCTCCTCAGGAGGAAGTAATGTCTTTCTCCTTGCCAAGTGGGCAGACAGTAAGCAGTCCATTTCTCAGAACTAGCTGGGGCAGACTAATTACTTCCTTTGCTGGTTTGTTTCTTGCCAAGCCAAATTAAAATCCCAAATGCCGCCTTGGAAGATAGACTAGAAAGTAAAAGTAGTGCGGGTTCCTTTGGTCAGAGGCCTAAGTCATGTGATTTCCATGTCTTATTAGCTTTAGCGTTTTAATAGAATGCACTTACAAACTAAGACTTACAGCTTAGTTTTCCTAACCATTTGGGGGAAGCTCTCCATTGCTATCTATCCTAGGATAAATTTGCGTGTAATTTATCAAACCTCTTCTTTAAAAATAAAAGTATATGCTTCAGGTGAAAACTTACAGAGGAAATTAATTTTCCATTCAACGATTTATACACATTTTGTTTTGTAACATTGATGGCCATCTCTGTGTAACATCATTCTCCATGCTTGTTCCCTAGCTTCTTCTTTATCCTTCTCTCCTGTCCCTTCTGCCTCTGAGCTTTGAGTTTAAGTAAAACTACCCTTTCAGTCTCATAAGGTTGATCATTCGAAGAAGCACTTTACTCATGAGTGTTGTTAATTCCTTTTAAACCTGTCTTTTGGGTTTTTTGTTTGTTTGTTTGTTTTTTGATGGAAGATGATCCCTGGGGTTGAGTTTTGTTTAAGATTTGAAGGTTGTCTAAGGGCCAACGTCTCAAGTGTTCCTCTAATCTCTATCAAACCAGTGTTCCTCTAATCTCTATCAAACCAGTTGTTGTTAAGTGTTGTCGAGTCGGATCCGACCCATAGCGACCCTATACAGGATTTCCAAGGAGCGACTGGTGAGCTTGAACCACCGACCTTGCAATTCCTGTAAGTCTGGTCATTTTGATGAATTTTAATTTTGTTCTATATTTTTCTCCCACTCTATCCAGGATCTTCTCTTGATCTGTGTATCTACATTGATGTCTTTCCTCTTCTAGAAGTCACAGTCTTCCTTAACAGATGCCTTGTTTTATAAATAGAACAAACTGACATACAAGAGGGCTTCAAAAGTTGTTGGGAAAATTCCATTATCTTCTAACTCAATGTTTCCAAGAGCCTTTTGAAGCCCCCTCATATGTATGTATAAGTGATTTCATAACTGACTCTTTGTTGAGTATTTGTGATTTAATAAAGGAATATATACAGTAAAGTGTGAGAATCTCAGAGCTTGATATGTATCATAGTAAATTTTTAGTTTATTTTGCTACATGAAAGAAATAACTGAATAAAAACCTGAGTGTTATCCTGAATTTGCAATTAGATGAATTGCATGAGACTTTTATGGTATTTTGCCTAAGAAAGAGAAAATATTTATATGAAAACATGGAAACAGAGAATTCAAATGAACATTTGAGAGGTCATATGGGCCCTCAACACCATCATTTACACAAATACAGTCTTTGATAGATATCATCACAATACTAAAGATAAGATAGCAGAGCATCACAGCAGGCCAACTGTCTGTACATCATCTCACATAAGTGTACATTTGCCATCATATTTTCTAGAGATGCTGTTAGAATTTCTGGTCACTATACAGTACAGCCAGAATCACTATATAGTAGAAGCCAGGATGGTGAGCCTTCATCTCTCACACTTCTAACATGTTGTCAGGAGGGACTAGTCCCTGGAGAAAGACTCATGCTTGGTAAAATGGAGGTTCAGTGGAAAACAGAAGGACCCCAAATGAGAAACAGTGACAGCATCAAGGGGCTCAATCATAACAATAATTGTGAGGATAGCATAGGACCAGGCAGTGTTTTGTTTTGCTATTCACAGGGTTGATATGAGTCAGAACCAAGTCAAGGGCACCTAACAACAACAATGACTATGGTTATTAGAGTCCTGGTGTGGCACTGTAGGATAACCACTGCTGGACTGCTAACAGCAAGGTCGACTGTTCAAACCCACCAGCTGCTTCTTGGAAACCATATACAGGGTCATTATGAGTGTAAACCAACTAGACAGGACTTAACAACAAAAACCTTAGTCATCAACAAATGTTTCGCTATTGGTCTCTGTGTTTGCTTTCTAACCACATAGCAGATGTATTTATATTGCTTTAGTTTGCAAGTTTTAGCTAGACATTTAATATTGGGCTCTCACTGTTCTATGTCAGAATTTATCCTCCATCAGTTAGTAGGGGGGCAGTTAGGTCCTAGAATGAGGCTAGAAATGGGATGAAATCTAAAATTTAGAGTTGGAAGAGCATACAGAAATAAATATCTCATTTTATCTTTCTTAGAGTCCTGGTATGGCACTATAGGATAGGCAATGGACTACTAAATGCAAGGTTGATGATTAAATCCCAATAGTCACTCCTTGAAAACCCTACACAGGGCTATTATGAGTGGGTCAGATTCAATGATATTTAGCAACAAAGTTTCTTAATTCTAGTAAAAACCATCTCTACCCCATGTGAAACCTTTGTGTACTATTGAGAAGCCCTGAGGATACAATCCAATTAGAAACACCCCTGACCATGGTATTTTCAATCACTCAAAAGCATGGGTAATGAATAAGGAAGATCATAGCCAGAGAACTGATGCATTTGAATTATGGTGTTGAGGAACAATATTGAAATCAACAAGGATTCTCAGAAGAACATACAAATCTGTCTTAGAAGAAATACATTCAGAATGCTCCTTAGAAGTGGAGATGATGAGATTTCATCTCATATACTTTGGACATATTGTCTAGAGGGACCAGTTCCTAGAGAAGGGTATCCTGCTTGGTAAAATAGAGGGTCAGTGAAAAAGATGAAGACCCCCAATGAGATGCATATATCCTCTATCTACACATTTTATTTGTGTGCGTCAAGTTGAAGACACATAAAGTCAGAACTATGTACATTTCGGTTGAGTTTTTTCCTTCTTATCCCTGACATTCTGACTCTATAATTTACCCTGCATTGTCAAATCCTATGAAGAACCTGATAGCATTTACTTTTGTATTTCATAATGAATACCAGCTTTATTGACTGTGAAAATGCTTTCGATTATGTGGATCATGAAAAGCTATGGACAACATGGAGAAGTATGAGTATTCCTGAACACTTAATTGTGCTTATGAGGAATCTGTACCTGGACTAAGAGGCAGTTGATCGAACAGAACATGGGAACAGTGAATGGTTTAAAATTAAAAAAGGTGTGCAACAGGGTTGTATTCTTTCACCGTACTTATTCAACCTGTATGCTGAGCTAATAATCTGAGAAGCTGGGTTATATGAAGCAAAACATGGCATCAGGATTGGAGGAAGACTCATTAACAACCTGCAATATGCAGATGACACAACCTTGCTTGCTGAAAGTGAAGACCTTAAAATATTTACTGATGAAGATCAAAGAGCACAGCCTTTGGTATGGATTGCATCTCAAAGTAAAGAAAACAAAAATCCTCATCACTGGACCAATAAACAACATTCTTATCAATGGAGAAAAGATTGAAGTTGTCAAGGACTTCATTCTTCTTGGATCAAC